TTTTTCAGGATGTTATATGCAGAGAGAGATGTGCTTGCAATGTGATATTGGTGTTGCAATTCACGATGGCCGTTGCTCCGAATCAATTACCATTTATATACGGAATCTTCCGAGAATTAGCAGCTGATCCATGCTATTTGGTGAGGAGGTCTGCGGCAGGGACCATTTCGAAGATAGCTATAACCTTGGGCAATCAGAACAAAATGGTTAAGAATGAGTTTGTTAAGTTGTTAAGGGATGATGCGGTCGAGGTGCTGGATCTCCTTGTGCCGACAATTTCCGAAACACTCATGAGCTTCTGCGACAATGACACTCTTTCAAATACGACTTCGAACCAGATAACATCCGACATAGGTCGAGCTTTATTCAAGTGCCAAACGGAGCTGTCCAAAGCCTACAATTGGCGCTTAACTGTTACGTTTCTCTCACAATTGGAGTGTCTTCCATTCTGCATGCCAGCTGAGTTCATACACAACAATTTCACTCCAGTTTTGATGGACAGGAGTTTAAATGGAGTAAGTTTTTCTTATATAATCTATAATATTATATATTAATTGATTTTTTTTTTCAGAAAGCTAAACCTATTAGAATCCAATCAATTCGAACGCTAATTGTCTTTTTGAAGTATAATTTCAAAGAAAATCAGCATAAATGGCTCAGAGAATCGCTGATCAAACAATTGGCGCGTTCCAATAGCTGCTACACGAGGATGCTTTACTTCAATTGCTGTGAGGCTGTGCTCAATGTCTTCAGCGAAAAGTATTTTAAGGAATTCTTTCTACCACCGTTAATTGCTTTGGCCAGTACGATGATCTTAACTTAATTAATGATGAATTTGTATTAAATCTGTGCTTTTAGCTGATAGAATTTCGAATATCCGCTATGGTTTCGTGATGTTCATGTCAAAATTGAAGAACATGGTGACGTTTTCCACGGATTTAAAAACGAAACAGGTCGTGTTTGAGGCGTTCAGCAAATTAGAAATATCCGAGAAAAATAAAGATGTATTGGATCTGGTTAGGATTAAGAAGAGGGAGTTGACTGCTAGGAGGAATGAAGAAAGATTGAAAGAGGAGGATAGGCGAATTGCGGAGGAATCGTCTGGGGTTATACAAAGATTTGGTAGTTGTTAATTTTTGATTTGTAGAAGATTTTTTTTTATTAACAGGGGATATTTTTCAGTTGCTGCTCCTGTTCAACAAAATGTTGCAGCTATTCCAATCGGTGATGGTAAAAGGAGGAACGACGTGAGGATTGCCCAATCGTTAGTATATTTCTTTTTGTTATTTGCGAAATATTATCGTTGCTACAGTAGTCCGCTTTGTGTTCTAGTGAAATGACTTTCTTGGAGAAGCATTTTTATACGGATGCTGGAGTCTCGATCCCCAAAGAAAGTCATTTGACAGCAGAGCCCAAATTAGATGTAGAATTGGTAGAGGATGTTGAAAGCGAACCGACAGTATTAAGTGATATTAAGTCGCTGAGCGACTCTGAGATTCTGAACACGACGAACATCACTGACGACGTGAAAGTTAACTTGAGAAAGATATACAGGAACAAGTCGAAGATCGTTCCACCAAAGACTTACCGCACTAGTATTACCGACCAGAAGGCTAAACGCTACTCCAGTATTCTTTCGAGCAACTGCATCGACAGAGACAAGAAGACGATGAACAGACGTAGTCTCAACCTGACGACTTCCTCGCGCAGCGATCTGAGCAAAATCCCCGTCTGCTCCCGCGCCACCTCCACCAGTAGACTAGACACGGATCCATCGACAATAAGAAAGTCAGAGACAAGTACCAAAGCCTTAGAGTTATGTGATAAGCAACTTTCCGCGTCTGACGGTTCTTTAGAGAAAGACAAGCGTTGCTCGGAGAACGTCAGAGTGAAATCGCTTTCAAATCTACCAATCTTGTTAAGGTAATCTGAACGTTTCTTCACCACCGTTAATAATATCGATTCGTTTTCTCGTTTCAGGAAAAACCTCGTACTGAAGAAATGAAGTACTTAAGTATTATTCAAGTTATTGCTTTGTAATAATTTATATTTATATATATATTTTATTTATACATATATTTTATATTCGATTTATATTTATATAAAGGGAGACTAATAACGCTATTTTATCTAAATTCATTGTTGCTTAATGCCCTCCAGAATCCTATCCACAGCTTCAACGAAACTAGGTACCACCGCTGTTGGAGGTTTACCAATCTTTTCTTCATCTCCCTGTTGGTATTTACCAGTTTGCACCAAATACCCCATCAATCCTGCATTCATAGCTCCTTGAATATCATCGGTGACGTCCTATAAATAAACATGAGAATTTAAACAATAAAATACAAGTAAGTTACTTACATCACCGATCATGACTGCCTCTGCGGGAGGTACATTACCTAACGCATTTTTGAAAAATTCTTCGTTCGGTTTTCCCACAACCTCCGCTTTACATTGAGACGAATACTCCAATCCTTTGACGAAACATCCAGGCCCCAAAGCCAATCCATCGTTACGTTTGTAATATTTACCTGCATGGATTGCTATTAATTGAGCACCATCTAATAAGTGTCTATAAATTATTTCCATGTAAAATTTGTGTGTTGTAAAGAAATTTCTATGAATTGATAGTTACCGGAATGCTTCATTCAGTTTATTGTAGTGGAATTCATTCGGGGCCAATCCAATGACCACAGCATTAGGTTTATCACATTCCTCACAGGAGAGACCCTCAAAGTCCTCAAGAGCTTCTGGTGAGAGGAGCAGTAAAGGTTTTAATTGCCTATCAACAATCAGACTTCTTGCTGCACTCAATGAACTGAATATTTCGCTTTTATCAATGGTGAAGCCCAAACTCGTTAGGCGATTGTACAAGAAGTTTTTACTCTCTTTGGTTGTGTTTGTAACAAACTTAATGGATACATCAGTCTGCCTCAATCTGAATGAAGAAAAGCATAAGAAATGAAGAAAAAAATACATGATATAACAAATACTTATTCAAGGCTTCTACAGCTCCTGGAATTGCGTTGTTATCTATATGCAGAGTTCCGCTCAAATCGATCAAAACCGCTCGAATCATCCTGTTAAGATACCTGTTCATGGATAAAAGGGTTATAGGTTATGTACATCTGTGACTATTTTGAATTACGCCAATGCGATTTCCAAAGTAGTTACATCAGAAAGATGATTTAAAGAAGCTACCAATCAAGTATTCAAATAAATAATTTGATTCGTTACAAATAGTTATATTCTTTTCTGTACTTTCTATTAGGAAATTTGTGTATGCAGATTAATAATCAGAGGATGGACGATTCTCGATCCATTCTTTGATGGCAGGAATTCCTATAATCTTTTTGCGTAGTTCTATCAAGTTGGGATATCCTTCGAGGACGTCTATCTTGAGGACGCCGTTACAGTAATCCAGTAGGCTGATGAAATACAAGTCAGCCCATGAAAGCTGTATTGAAATCGAATGGTTTAAGAGTGGATCAGGAATCTAGATTTCGAATGTTTACCCTTCCCAAAGCAATGTAACCACCGGACGCCTTTTTCTCGAATCTCTTCAGATAATAGGGAAGAGTTTCGTTCATCAGGGTTTCTCGTAAAACGCTTTTTATCGGGCTGTTGTTATCCTCTTTGTTGTAGATTCCAACATCTGTAAATGTTTAAAATTCAGGTATACAAATTGACCCATTTCTCAATATTTTTTTGTACGGGATTTAAGTTAACAATACAATTAATACTGACGATTTCGGAAATCTGCAATGGTGTCGACTATTGAATCAATCTCCAGATTTTCCAAAGCGTTTTCCCCCGACAATCCGACGACTGTTGCCAGATACCTGCAGATGGCAATGCTCTGATGGGCAACGTGATCGTCGATCTCCAAAATTGGGACCTGCCCATAAGGCGTGGTCTCCTTGAAGGACTTCCAACTGTCCGGATTCAACCGGACATCCTCGAACTTCAAATTACCGTAGCAGAGCAAGTAACGAATCGGTTCAGCGATCGCCTTCACAGGGAAATACGTCAACTTGTATTTGGTTTCTGAATCCATGCTGCAATTAATAATAATAATAATCACTGGAGATTTGCGTTTTCTTGTGAAAAGACGAAACGTCAAAGTAAAAGGAATGAAAGTAAATAAAATCTGACAAACGTTTAATAAAAAGATATCAATATATTTAGGAAACGGGGTGCGCTTTGAGTTTTCCAAACAAACGAAAATTAATACGGAAAATTCGATTTCATTTCGTCGGAAGTTTTGGTCGCATAATAAAATGAAACGGAATCTTACTTCGTCTCCTAAATTCGCCCTTTCTTCGTACATTGTGTTTCATGAAAAACATTGACATAATTTCAGACTTAAGCTGGAAATATTCGCAATAATAATAATAATAATTTAAAACACCTGAAGATACAGCTTAAATCTAAAATTATTTAATCTGAAGAACAAAGAAAACAATAAAACTTATTTGTGTATGATTTCCTGAAAAAATAAGAAAGACATGTATTTCATATGTATGTTACTCTACACCATCTTGATATTAGTGTAAAAATTGTTTATGTATTGTTGCAATATACACTTACACACCATAAATGGAGGTTTTGTTATCAAAAATAGACGCAATTTCATCGTTCTGTACCTCGACTGGATATTATTGACGTGTTGAACGAGAATATTTATGCACAAAGTTACGACTATTATTTGAAAAATGATATAGAAAAATTAATATAAATAGTAATTTAAAATAATGAAAAAAAAATAATATATAGAACGACTCCAATCCAGACAAGATGCCAATATTAAGAACAATTTCTTATAATATATCATTTCTTTTAGTATAACACTTATCTAAAAATGTCACTTATATTTAGAATGTTGCGATTGACTGTGTCACGGCGTCGATCCACTATCCTTTTTTGCGTCCTCCGTGCTGGAAGGTTTCTCATCCTTTTCTTCAACTGAAATACAAATATATATAAATATTAATTATTGAATTCAAGAAAACTTATGAAATCGAAAACTAGCGGAACTAAATAATAGGTTATTATGAATTTTATTTATATGAAAGTTTTAATATAGATTTCAAATTGTTAAATGAAAGACTGTAAAGATAATCGATTTAAAGGGAAAACTATAATTTTGGAATGGAGTTGTAGCAAATATTAATATAGTAATATGAAAAAGTGACGTAGGAGCTATAGACTACCCACTTCGCTGGTTGGAGAGTTGGGGTGCAAGTTGCAAATAGTAATTTGCAGATTGAAGAAAGATCCAGTAAATGTAAAAAAGTAGACTCAGTTTTTTTTTTTCAATAAAAAAAGTTATAATAAAATTCTTCCATTGAAGTACATCAGAATCTTATTGAAACTATAAAAAGAAATCATCTACATACATATTTGAAGACAATCACTGGGTCGAAAATGTAAAAACAATCAATATTTGTTTCAACATGAACTGATTCACAATTTGCAAAACAAAAAATAATAAACATCATACAGTTACTCAAGCACACACACAGATGTAATAATATTGAACGTATTTTGAAATGTTCTTGATGTTGCTTCAAATGTAGTTAGAGTCGTACATCGGCTGCAGAGAAGTGTTTGAACGGAAGATAAACAAAATCACTTTAGTTTATGGATATTGCACAAGCGATAGGCATCAAAAGTATAAAAAAAATAGTAAGAAATGAAAACAAAGTGACAATTATGTGAAATCAAATAATAGTAAAATAAAAAGCTTGATTGGATACATCTTGAGTGTAGGAGAAACAAGTGATTAAGGAACCAGCAGATATCTGGGATAGATTCCAATGAAAGTGGAAAGAAATCGAAGAGCCAAAAAGAAAAACCAATATGGTCCAGATTGCTTCTTTTCTAAAGTAGAGAAGGTGTTCTTTGATCAACGTTGAATGACTTGAAGATGGATATACTGAACCGAAGACACCTTGTATATAAGGAACATCATTGGTTTTTCTTCCATACAGCAGGATGTATATAAGTCTGTTGATTATTGTTTCTTGAGTTATACAATAAAAAAAAAGGGAACAATTAAAATAATCGGTATCACTTCTTGGCTCTTCATTTCAGCGACATCTTCCCCATGTCATTAAACTGAAAGACTTCCGTCGAGATGCAAGAAATCACCGTCGGGTAGATAAAAATAAGACTGATTATGATGACAAATCGCATTCCGCGATCCAATTACCTTTCTCGGGTTTCAGCTCATCTTTGCTGTTCTTGTCCTCCGCACTGGCATCCTTATTGTCGCCCTTCTCTAACCGCGGCCTCTTTCTTCCCTTGTAACTTCTGTTATCACGTCGACCGCCCTCCCCTTCATCTTCGCTGTCAGAAAATTGATTTTCCGGGGTGATCCTCTTGTCTAGGTCCTTCTGCGGCAGTCTCTCATCCTTGTCAACCTTATCCTCTGTGTCGGAGTCTTCATTGATAGCGTCTTCAGGGATATTTTGTACTTGAACACCTGGGGCATGAGGCAACATCCTCAAGTTCTCGAACAGTCTCGTCTTGATCTTCTCCAGATATTCGGGTGTGTTTTGGTTAGCCATGTTGCTGGGACTGATATGTAACTTGAAATCGGGCCCGAAGTATTCAAAGTAATCATTGTAGGGCAGTTCGTTAGCAATCTCCACACCAAGAGCGACCGACGTTTCGTACGTCCATGCTCTCGAAACGTTCCTGATGGTATAACCACCACCGCCAACCATCATAAATGGAAGACCGTACTTCTTGACGAATTCCACGCACTTGCCGTGCCCTTTCACCGTCAGATTGAAACATCCCAGCCTGTCGCCCGTCAGCGAATCGGCGCCGCATTGCAGAACAACCGCGCTAGGTTGGAAGGTTTCCATGACTTTGCTGATGATTGGCACGAATATGCTTTCGTACGACTCGTCGTCCATGCCGTCCCTCAGCGGGATGTTTACAGCGTAATATTTGCCTTTACCAGCACCAATGTCTCTCAAATCACCGGTGCCGGGGAAATATTCGCCATATTTGTGGAATGAAACAGTCATAACTCTATCCGTAGTGTAGAAGGCTTCTTCGACGCCATCGCCATGGTGCACGTCGATGTCAATGTACAGAACTCTTTGGTGATACTTCAGCAGCTCCAAGATGCCGAGTACTATGTCGTTTACGTAACAGAACCCAGAAGCCTCAGACTTCTTGGCATGGTGCAATCCACCGCCCCAATTGATGCATATCTCTGATGCTTGCTTGTTCAATTTGACTGCTGCCGCCACCGAACCACCAGCGGATAATTGGCAGAATTCATAGAGTCCATCAAAAACTGGACAATCCTCGCCGACGTTGAACCTTTGCATCTGCTTGTTGTATTCGGACATATTGTCCGGCCGAATTGATCGGAGGAACCTTATGTAGTCATCTGAATGAAATTTGGTCATTTCGTCTTGTGTCGCTTTGTGTGGACGCTAGAAGATACCCAAAGTTTAATCAATCAATCATCGGTAACAAAATACACTTTAACGAAAGATGTACTTACATATATCTCCATTTTTCTATATAAACCATAATTTAAAAGTAGATTGTGCGTCATGCGTATGCGGTGTGGTTTCATGGGATGTCCTTGGCCATAGTAATAATTCCCAATATCACCTTTAATTATAAGAAAACAATTATATACCATATAAAATAATCAAAATATTTAGAATTAGTTCAAATTATAATATTAATTAATTAATAGTAATGGCAAAATGAATAAATATAACTTTCAACTCAAAACATGAAAAAGTTGTACACTAATTTTCCTATCAATGTATTATTATAAGAGTGCTTCGAGTTTTATAGAGATTTTTGATAATACAAAAACACATAAACATACTAAAGTTAAGAATAAAGAAAAAATATGATTATCAGATTTGTTATCAACTGTCTGAGGTGCGGTAATTATAATATGTTGAGCAATGATTAATTTTGATGATCCATCACGGTAGCCTCTGATGCCGGGCAAGCACCGTAGCATCCTTGAGACGCCATCAAAATTTCGGCGAATAGGAAGCGTCCGATCCGCGGTAGCACCGTAGTCTACCGTGGACTGTCGAAGGCGCCACTTCAATAATTGTATATCCGGATGGTAAACAAACATGCATCGAGGATCCGAAGGTACGAACACGTCGAGCGTCGATGTTTTGGCGCGAGGGATGGTTCTGGGGGTGCAGATGCATCGAGATCGCGACAATTTACGGTGGAAACGCGACGATCCAAACACTGGTTGAGGTTATGTGGGGATTTCGGTGGGAACGCGTACACAAATATTTATACTCACTGTCGTAGTAATAGCAGACCCTCTTCTTGCTGTGCGGTTGCATCGCCATCGTGAATGGATGTGAAGAAGAACTGACTCTCAGGAATTGTTCGTTGAACGGCGGCGCTCGGCCGTTGTGTCTCTCGTTTTGCTTGTTTCCTCTTCAGCCGTCGTCGGTATTGTTGGAGGACAATTTTGGAACTACTACCACTCGACAGCGCCGAAAAATGCACTGTATCTCGAACGAACGATGGCTAACTAATGAACTAACCTTTACGCATGTGTCACGGTATAGTCGTCCTTGTCCTTGCGCATGATCCTTGCGTGTGAAAGAGAAACGGAGAAACCAATGGCCATTTGCAAATGCGACCAATTGTCTTTCCACAAAATTATTAATTAGCTCTGATTTCCACAATTGACACCATCAAATTACATAAAATTATCATTAGCAACAATTCGTGAAACTTGTAGGCAAAATATAGATAGATTTCATTTGTTCAATGTTAGATGTTTGATCTAAACAAACATGGCTACCATTTACATATAATGGCGGACTTACATCTAAATCACAAAATTATATTTTCTAATACAACTAATACTTTAAATCCATTCATTAATATCTATTTCATACTCATTTACCAATAAATCATTAAAAAAAATATATACCCTGCAACTACATTGCAATTTTTTTAATTTTTCACAATTTACAGGAAATATAATAAAACGACTACTATCATCATTTAATGGCTGACATCAAAACAAATTAATTATTTCATGAGTATAAATTTTATTTAAAATACAGTTAAAATTAAATTAAAACAAGCAAATAAAGATAGTCAATTTATCATTAAGAGTATTTGTAACAATAAAGAACAATAGAAGGTAAATTTTTTTCGGAGTAACAAGTACCGATTCATAATTCCAAAAAAAAAAATCAACAAAGTCAATGGTCAGTTAAGGGTGGATCTTCTCCAAAATAATACAAAGAAATTTTTGTTACATGCATTGCAGATTTCTATTTGTACTCATTTTCTCAAAACTCATGCCTCTTACTTATGTTGTACCCAAATTTCACAGGTCCCCTTTTTTTTTGTAGCAATTCTATATCGCAAGCCCGACAACCGAAAGACCGTCTATTGAAATCCAGACGTTCGAAATCCCGGCTGTATTAAAATCCCGACAATCAAAACCCCAACTATATCGAAATCCCGACAATATTGAAACCCCGATTATATCGAAATCCAGACTAACTTAAAAATATTATTATAGAAATTTACAATAATAAAAGACACTGTCGGGATTTCGATATTGTCGGGATTTTGATTGTGGGGATTTCGGTTGTCGGGCTTGCGATTGCCACCAATTTATCTCTATAGTGATTCTAAACGTGACAACATCAGACAATTTATAATTACTTCTGTATATTTGAACAATGCGTATAATATATTTTTTTTAAATTTTTCTACATTTATATTATAATAATTTTGGAATCTCTTTGATTCCAATTACTTTTCAGTATTATCATAGATTTCATATCAAAATGATTATTTATTAAAACTATATTAAGAAATTGTAAAGTCCTAAAAGTCCAAAGATTTGTATATAGAATAAATTTGTTTATTAACATATTGTATTTAAAGTTGAATGAAATCTTGGATCCAAATTTATTTATATGTTTACGCAATGATTTAAGGAAAAGAGTGATTAAATACCCATTTAAAATAATTAAAACCGTTAATAAATGCTAGTACAAGTTTGATGCTATATGTCAATGTAGGCAACCAAATGTACATTCTGTATGTGATTGTTTCATATCTATTGAAATAATTAATATAGATTTACGTTAATTTCTTCAAGTTAACGTTAATATTTAGTTATAGGAAACATTATGTTTGATTAAAATAATAATTTGTTTGTATATTGTTGTTACAATGATTGGAACTAGTAATGTAGGTGATTAGAAGATCATTTTGGAAATGATTAAGAAGTATTAAAACTACTTTTATTTGAAAATAGTGATAATTGTAAAGATTGTATTTCATAATAATTAATAAGAATAAGAAGAAGATGTGGATTTGTGAAATAACGGCGCTACTGTGTACTATGGAATATAGTAAAGAGGATCGGTTAAGGATATATTCTAGAAGCATATCTATGCGCATGGGCATTAATCTTCAGTGCGAGCCATTAGTCATCATTATTTGTGTTTTGGCCGATGTAAACATATTCCAAGATCCATTAAATCCTCGGTGAGAGAGTAAACAAAAACGTGAAACGCAAAAATCGTGATCTGTTTGTGTGGTGGGATGAGAATATGAACTTACATTTATGCACGATAATAGAAGGTGAGTAGAAAAAGCATGCTGAAAACAAACACGCTGTCTGAGATACAATAATGATACGCTGCCTATTTACGTTGTCCATACAATTTTCATCTGTCAAAACCTTGACCTGATTGTGGCTATTTTTGCCTCAGATTGAATTTTTTTTGATATGTTTTTCTGCCGTAGAACCTGAGAACAATGTCAAAGGAAGATCCCGCCATCGTAAAATCCCTGCAGAACCTGGAGCTGGAAACTCCTAAGCCGAGCATCAAGAGTCCCCCAAAAGTAGAAATCTCAAATCCATTTATGAGAAGGAAGCGTTCCAAGTCTCTATCAAGCATAAACATGTTCGGCACAACATGCATCTGCAAAAACAACCTGAACCAGGTTAAGAACACCACAAATTTCAAACGCACAATGCTTAAATGCAAGATACTGAAAGATCCGACTCTGAAGATCTTAAGTAATGCCTCAATAGTGAGCTGTGATAAAGCAATACTGAAGTCCGAGCCGAGCAGTTCAAAGGGGCCAGATCCATCTATGCACAGGGATTTCCGTTCCATTGTGGATGGTTGTCAGCAGTTAAGTTTGGCGAATGCAAACGATGGAGTGCAAGACTACTTGTTACCTAAGATACCTTTAGAGTTTGTTGTAAAACCAGAGGTTAAGCCTGCGGCTGCCTCTGATCCTCTCACTAGTTGCTCCCATCAAGCTCGAATGTCTCCACCGCCGTGCGACGTGACCATTGACGAATTGGCCAGTTACTTTGAAACTTTTGTACATATTCCTAAAAAGATGAGCACTATGGCCGAAATGATGTATACATAAATATATATATATATCTAATAATATTTATATATATTGTTAAAATGATATTTCTTTTAATGAGTCAATCCAAATTACTTATTTAAGATTTAATCAGACTTTCGTTTATATTTTAAGCAAATAACAAAGACTTATTATTTCAGAGACAAAGAAAGGCAGGGCCATATACAAACAGAAATAGAATGGAAAAACTAAGTACTAAGTTTATTTTCAATTGTTAAAATGAAAGAGTATTCTTAACTGTGTTAAGGAACAATAAAAACTTTTTTTTTTGAAAACAAATCCGTTTGTTTATTACTACTTTTCATTGATAGTAAATGGCTCAATTTGTGATTTGAATGACACCAACTGAACAGGTACAAGATTATTGTGAGACAGAATTTATATTTAAATTAATATATATTATAATAAATCTATACAGTTTTTACTAAATATATATTATATAGTTATATAAATATATTATGTTGTATGCACTTGTATGATTATAAATATATACTGTACAATCAAAAAAACAACTCGATATTATGTGAAAAAGAATACCTTCTACTTCTTCTAATCAAATTTACTTTTCTCTTGTATATGTGTGAATAGTTCCCTATGGAATGTGTGATATTTACCAATTAAGACATTTTCTGTATTATTATTTTAGTAGTTTTACGACATAATCAGTATATTTTCTTTGTTTCGTGGTAATTACTGTTTTATTCAACTTATATACCATAAAGTAATTTATTTCGACTCTTCGACAGAAACTGATTGCTTTGTGCATAGGCTAAGTTGGGAAGAAACATGGATATTGATATACCATATACCTTAACAAATTATAGAAGTGCAGTTTCAAAGTATTAATATCTGCAACATTTAATTATTTAGATTTTCAAAAGCTGAAATGTTCACTATTGTGTTTTAATGTACCTAAATATGCGACGATTTATAATTTAGAAAGAACTTCGATCAAATCTAGGATTTACTAGTTGTTATAAAACCAACTATAAGGAAATAATAATTTGATTTTGTATTTTTCTTTATTACTGTGTAACACGAAAATTACATAAATTTCAATGTAGTTAATATATTGGTGAAAGGACTTGAACAAATTGTAGTTAATTAAGAATGTTTTACATAAGACTATTATTGTGACCAAGTAAATTTTATAGTTTCTGCATGTATGTATGAAAGTTATGAAACTTTTGGAAATACACTTTATAAGTTAAATTGAATTATGAATCTATGATATTGGTTTTATTGTGCATATATCATGTTATTATTTTTGTTAATTGTCCTTATTATCCTTACTCGCGTGCGTTTTGGAATGAACTCTAAGCGATTGCGCTTGTGTGAATCCTTTATTACAAACAGGACAAATATAAGGAGTTTCTTTCGTGTGCACCCTCATGTGAACATCCAATGTGTACTTCTTACCGAACGCTTTTCCACACACCTCGCATTTAAAATTTCGCACGCCAGCGTGAATTTCCAAATGTCTGCTTCTCTCGTTTTTCGTCAAAAACCTGGAATCGCATAAGGTGCATTTGTACGGTTTAATTTTCTCGTGCCTCATATAATGTAAATTTAAGTCTTTTTTCGCCTTGAAACCTTTCCCGCATTTCGAGCAAATGTGATCCCTCACATCCGAATGCGATCTAAGATGCGATTTTAAAGTGTTACTCTGACAGAAACTCTTTGAGCAATGATCGCATTTGTAACGTTTGTCTCCAGTGTGAACCCTCATGTGCATCTTCATATTGCAGTAGTCTCTGAACGCCCAACCGCAAACCTCGCACACGAACTCCTTCACTTCCTTGTGGATTTTCGTGTGCGCCCTTAAACGTTGTTCCGTGAAGAACCTCTTACCGCATTCCTCGCAAACGGCCTTTCGTTGATCATCATGTACAGTTTCCTTGTGCTTAAAAAGCATGTAGGACGTTTCGCTGATGAAGTCGCAGTACTCGCAGATGCCCCTTTTCGAATTATTCTCTAACACTTTGTGCTGTTTCAGGTGTTTCACCATATCCGATCGACATTTAAATATCTTTCCGCATTCACTGCACGTCCTCGATTCTATTGGTCCATACTCATCGCTATTACCGCCTAATTCCGGATTATTTTTATCCTCTAAACTTAAATCGTACAAATATAACAATATTCTGTGTTTTTGTTGTTGTAAAGATGACTTACTTGTCTTGAAAGCACGCGTGACATTTCATATGGATCTTTAGCTCAGTCTCATTGAAGAACTTCTCACTGCAAACAGTGCAATCAAAATTTCTCATGTCCGCATGAACACTAATCTTGTGCCTGCGCACCAAGACTGGATTCACATTAAAGTAATCACAATGATCGCAAGAACACTGTTCATGTATCCTTTTGTGCTTAGTATAATGCCTTCTGGTATTGAAGATTTTCCCGCACACCACACAATGGAACACTCTTTTACCTTTCTGCAAATGGCTCTCAAAATTTCTAAAAAAACAAAAACACTTTAAAACTTTTACAACTTTAAACTCACAAAATACTCACAAGTCACTTCCCACTTCTTTTCCATCAAAGTTATGTGGAATTGTCACCATATGATCTTCAATTCTTAAACATAAGTATTCCTGTAAATATTTTAAATACCAAACCAATTTACATACATATGTTTAACTTCCTCTTCGGACAATACTTCATCTTTTACAGAGCTGCTCTCCTCAGTATCATCAATACTATCATCTTTCCTGAAACGTTTTTTTTTTTGTGGTGGTTATTCAAATTGCAATAGTTTATGAACATCAGATATTCCATATTCATAACTTACATATTTTTAGTATCCTCCTCAAAAAATTTCTCTTCATGTTCACTTTTTCTGAAAAACAAAACAAATTATTGAGTAATGTTAATAAATCAAAAATAATTTGGTAAGAAAAAGGCAAATGTATATTAGCAAACAAGTATACTCACACAATATTCATTTGCAAAAGCTCCGTACTCACTTTGGATTGGTTTATTAATATATTTGTAGCATTATCTTCTCTAAAACAGGAGACATGACTGTAAAGACAATTTTCGTTTGGTTTACAAACCATATCCTTACGTGCAATTATCCAATTCCTGCTGTAATAATACATCAGAATCCTGACACCTTTTCCTAAAGTTGTAACAAGTTCGAGCATCTGTAATGCAATGAATACATATGGACTGTGGCTTCCCATCATTGGAGAATATCTAAAATTTCTTACATTACAATTCAGTTTTATTACAACTGCAACATTTACCTCAATACTGGCAGTATTTGATAGAAGCTCGATTAACAACATCTCCTTATCACATAAACTTACAGAGGCATTTAATTCCACCAGAGGAATGCTTTCGTTCAAACACGCCCTGCATCTATCGTTGGGTTTAATTAATGACATCTTCTTCTGTTGTTATTGGATCGTGTTTATTTTAATATTTTCATTTAATTGCAATCAAATCATTACAATTATTACATTTTAGGTTAGAATTATGAAAAAAAATGTTTTTATCCATTGGGATGTCAACGAATCTTAGTTCGAGTAAAAATCTAGAGTGGAGCCACTCATGAACAAACACCCAAAAGTTTTAAATTTAAACATTTCTTACTTAATTCCAAAGTAATTTAAGTATCATTAACATATTAGTCTTGTATTCATTATTGTATAGTTTATACAAGACAATTGATTGATTATTATCGATTTGTTGATATTGCAATAATTTAGTCTTTCATATATAAGTAAGATTAGATTATAAGAACATCTTAAGCTATTTGGAAATGATAAAATACACAGAAACGTGTGGTCTATAGGTCATTTGGCCCTGATATTCTTTTCTGATAGACTTTATAGTCACAACTTAATTAATGGAAATCCATTATTTTCCAATTTAATAATACAAAAAGTTCTGTTCAGGTGTCGCAGATGTGTTTGTAAACCAATCAAAAGGAACCACGTGTCCTTTTGTTTCTTGCGAGACACAATCTGATTGGTGTATTCAAACGAAAACAATCTTCACTTGTTTTTGTAGACATAATTTGTTTTAATATTGTTGAAATAACGACAATCTCGCACTTGTTCTGTTGCCGTGCACACGTATAGTTTTCTCCCAAAGTTTAGACCAGTTAATCCGTTCAGAAAATGGAACAAATTGTAGAACGCGCACAGTTTGCCAGATGCCGAACGTGCATGGAGATTTCTTACAATTTGATATCGCTGAAAGAGCAAGTTTTTCCTGATAAAACGGACGTTCTTGTTTCGACAATTGTCGAATTTTTTTTCAACGAGCCGGTGAGTTTACGACGTTAAAACAAAATGGCCTCTATTTTCATTTGTTTTCAATTCAGATTGCCAATAAGCAGAACTTGAAAATATGCGGCAAGTGCTTCGAGGAGGCGAAAACCGCTTACGCGTTCAGCATAAAATGTAATAAGACTAAGGAATTGCTGAAAAACTTTCGAAGGTAAATCTTGTTAATTGATATTCAATTCATATTGTATTAATATGTGTATTTTTGTTTTTGTTTCAGTGATAGTATCATGAAACCATACACTGACATAAAAAATGAAGAATTTAGATCTAATAGGATTGATAAGATAGAAAATGTATCTAACGATACATCTCGTAAGATAATTGTAAAGGTAGAAGTGTCCGAGTAAGTGATATCGCTATAATTATGTATTGAGTTTGAAGCAATAACAATTGATATATCTTGTACAGGGCCGCATTAAGGTTGTTGGCACTAGGCACTAGATCTTAAAAAAAATCAAATCCTTATTACAATATTTTTTTCGTAGGCCTTAATAATTCTTGTTTCAAACTAATTCATTTTTACGATAATAAGTAGTTCTTATTATTTCAGTGATGAAATCATTGAAAATCTATTATCCGACGAGGAGGAAGCTTCAAAATCCGAAGATATATCAGTGAACACTTCAGTGTAAGTTATTTAGCAAAAAAATGAGACATCGGTTAAAACATCTTTTGTTCTTATAAAAATTTTACAGTGTAGATTCTGAAGGAACAGTATCTACAATAGAACGAGAAATTCAACCTGTTCCCAATCAAGAGTCGAATCAAATGGTGATAACTGAAGTGTTCAAACTTATGGTAAATTCTAAAAGATTTAAAAATAAGTAAGTATTTTTGTTATAATATTTTACTTCATTATCTAATTCCATATTTTTTATAAAAATCACAAGTTCTTCTTTCAGCGAAGAAATAAATGAAGACCAATCATTGAGGGTGGATGCTACAAAATCCAAAGATATTTTAGTGAAAACTTCAGAGTAAGTTAATTAGGAAACACATTAGACAATCCTTTTTACTTATGTAAATTTTACAGTGTATGTTCTGAAGCAACAGGATCTACTATAGCACAAGAAATTGCACCTGTTTTCAATGAGCCTACACCTAAAAGAAAATCTAATAGGATTAGAAATAAGTAAGTCTTTTTTGTTATATTACGTGTAACATCTTTATCGAATTTTATATTTACGCATATACAATCATGTTTTGTTTTTATACTATTTGTTTTTATTTTTTATAAAAATCACAAGTTCTTCTTTCAGCAAAGAAATAAATGAAGAGCAATTATTGAGGGTGGATGCTAGAAAACCCAAAGATATTTTAGTGAAAACTTCAGAGTAAGTTAATTAGGAAACAAATTAGATAACGCTTTATAACATCCTTTTTTACTTATGTAAATTTTACAGTGTATGTTCTGAAGCAACAGCATCTACTATAGCACAAGAAATTGCACCTGTTCTCAATCTCGCGTCCAATCAAGTGGTGATAGCTGATGCGGCTACAACTAAACCAAAATCTAATAGGATTAGAAATAAGTAAGTCTTTTTGTTATATTTTAACATCTGTAACATCTTTATCGAATCTCATATTTGCGCATATACAATCATGTTTTGTTTTTATACTATTTGTTTTTATAAAAATCACAAGTTCGTCTTTCAGCAAAGAAATAAATGAAGCCCAATTATTGAGGGTGGATGCTAGAAAACCCAAAGATGTTTCAGTAAAAACTTCAGAGTAAGTTAATTAGCAAAAAATTAGATAACGCTTTATAACATCCTTTTTTACTTATGTAAATTTTACAGTGTATGTTCTGAAGCAACTGGATCTACTATATCACAAGAAATTGCACCTGTTCTCAATCTCGCGTCCAATCAAGTGGTGATAGCTGATGCGCCTACAACTAAACCAAAATCTAATAGGATTAGAAATAAGTAAGTCTTTTTGTTATATTTTAACATCTTTATCGAATCTCATATTTGCGCATATACATTCATGTTTTGTTTTCATACTATTTGTTTTTATAAAAATCACAAGTTCGTCTTTCAGCAAAGAAATAAATGAAGACCAATCATTGAGGGTGGATGCTAGAAAACCCAAAGATATTTTAGTGAAAACTTCAGAGTAAGTTAATTAGGAAGCAAATTAGATAACTCTTTATAACATCCTTTCTTACTTATGTAAAATTTACAGTGTATGTTCTGAAGCAACAGGATCTACTATAGCACAAGAAATTGCACCTATTCTCAATCTCGCGTCCAATCAAGTGGTGATAGCTGATGCGCCTACAGCTATACCAAAATCTAATAGGATTAGAAATAAGTAAGACTTTTTAAACACTTCTTTAGCTATTTTCATATTTGCGCATATGCAATCATATTTCAACTATATGAGATCTGTGATTTCAGAAACTGGAATCGCTACGAATTTGTCCAACCTGAGACGAGCAAGAGAGTTAAACGAAAGAGGTTGGAGAAAACAGTGGAGAGGTAAGAATCATTTGAGGCTGTTCGGTACATCGAATAATTTGTTTTGGTATTAGGACCCCGACGAAGATGGTGAAGCTGCCGAACGAAGTCGAAAACAATATGGACGTAGAGATGTTCGCCTGCAAATTTTGCGAGAAGACATTTGAAAGCGACGTGGAATACGCAGAGCACTGCGTGGTCCACATTACACAGATTTGCTACCTAAAAAGTAAAAAGTTTCAGAGATTTCCTACAGATAAACGTTATCTTGTCTGCACGATATGCGACAATGTGTTCTACCACAGGAAAAACCTGTCGAGACATAAAAAGAACGCTCACGAGATATGCAAATTATGTGGTATGTTACCGATGAACCGAAAAGAACTGAAGAAACACATTGAAACTACTCATTTACGAGCGGGCAAATGCTGTGTCCAGCGGTGTCCGTTTTGCAATGAAACATTTCAAAAATTTGATGAGCTGAAGAAACATGTTAAAATGGAATTGTGTCGATCTTGAAATTATATGTTGAAAGAATAAATATGTTTATTCTCTTAAAAAATTGATAATTTTTTTTTTGTAGTTTAAGTTAAATTTCATTTCAGGTAGATTTACATAAAAATGTAACTTGACTTAAAAAAAGGTAAGTTAATATAAAATTTGAGTTCAGTCTTCAAGAATTTGATACGTTGAAGAGAGATATGTATTCTCAATGCAATTGGAATTGCGTCAATCTTGAAATTATATAAATTTGTTTATTCTCTTATTTGATAAATTTAAATAACTTGACAAGAAAGGTTATATAATTTGAGTTCAATTTTCTTATTTAGTTTTCAAACAGCCTTCAGTCACAAATGATGTTCGATAATAGAGTTTACACTATATTATCAATTCAGGGCACAAATAAAATTTGTTACGTCTGCACGATTACTTAACATTACAAATTTAAAATTGAATTTGGAACTATCGTCTGAGTTTCGAAGTATTCTTAATCCCTAATGATTGCCGTGTTTCGAGCGAAACTGTGCATATCGTTAGAGTTAACGAGCATAACGACGGAAACAGTTATTACATCGAAACTAAGAATAAGCTGCAATATACTTATAACCAATTTGTTTAAGCTGCAGGAAATATTTCGTTTAGCAAAATGATGGTAATTAAAATATTTCATGCAAAATTAAACTATTATCATACAATGATTTAGACTTCATTACTTTTAGTATATCAAAATTATTATTTAAAATTAACTGTATCATTTATAATCTGCAATTTTTTAGACTACATTCAATAAATTATCTTGAGTTTGACAATTGTAAATGGTCGACGGTAATTTTCCTCCCTTACATATTAATGCACACCTTGAAATGTGTCAGTCGTTATTCATTATTTATACTTGCATAGTGCATTGTCTAATAACCATGAATGATAAAAGTATGCATTGTTCATATAGTTCAAACTTTATTATGTGCATAGAATATTCTGCAATTTAAACAAAACGTTTAAATTGTAGACGAAATTAATTTACAGTTTTAATATTATAACTGTATAAGCACATTATGTTCTAATAATAAGTAATGTGAATTTTAAAATATACTTATTTATCTCATATAACTCTTTGAAGGGCGGTGGGACACACATTGTCCCACCTTTTTGAACCTGCTTAGTGGGGCATTATTATAATTTTCTAGAAAATGTACAGGAATTACCATTTAATTTAGTATGGTTGGTCAAGGGATGAATCTTGAAACCATCCGATGGTGAATCAGTTGAAGAAGTTGTCTCTAAAAATTTGTTAGGTCTAGAAATTTAGGAATTTCTTTCAAATATTTTCTGTTTCTTTCTCCATAAAATAGGCAGTTTTTTTAATAAATCTTTCGTAAAATTCTGTCAGTTTTTCATTTATATATGATTCCAAGTGATTTCACATTTCTTTTTTCATGAAGCGATGCAAAATTGAAGAAGTCTGAAGGTGTAATATCATGTGAAATTGGTGTATTTTGCAGAACTTCTATATAAACTCTCTTATTTTGTCTTATGTAATCCTTGTATTAACATGTTATACAAATATTTTTCCATTGTTTACTAAATCTGATCATTTTTCTTACTAATTGGGTATAATACACTTCTGATGCAACAATCTGACCAGGTTTTAATAATTCATAATGAGTTATTCCCAAAAAATTTCATCAAACCAAAGAGTGAACCTTTTTCAAAGTCAATGGGGATGACATGAGTACAGGTATCCCCCAACTTACGAACTAGTTCCGTTCCAAAGGGTTGTTTGTAAGTCGAATTAGATCGTTTTTTTTATCGTTATATATCTTCTTGTAACAAATTAAAGCTTTTAGTATGTTGTTCGTAAGTCCGGGAGTTCGTAAGTCGGGAGATACATGTACTTCATTTCCTTCCTTCTCTTATCACCTCCTAACTTCACTTAGTTTGCGCATCTTGCACAATTTCGCCAGCCACTGCTTTTGTTAATTGAAGATTTATCTAATCCAGCTTGAAAGTGTAATATCATGTGAAATTGGTGTATTTTGCAGAACTTCTATATAAAGCTCTCTTATTTTGTCTTATGTAATCCTTCTATTATCATGTTATACAATTATTTTTCCATTGTTTACTAAATCTGTTCGTTTTTCTTATTATTTGGGTATAATACACCTCTGATGCAACAGTCTGACAAGGTTTTAGTAATTCATAATGAGTTATTCCCAAAAAATTCATCAAACCAAAAAGTGAACCATTTTCAAAGTCAATGGGGAAGACATGAGTACAGGTATTCTCCAACGTGTTCGTAAGTCGAATTTGTTCATAGTTGGTTATTTTTTTTGTCTTTATATATCTTCTTGTAACAAGTTAGAGTTTTTAGTATTTTGTTCGTAAGTCCGGGAGTTCGTAAGTCGAGAGATACATGTACTTCATTTCCTTCCTTCCCTTTTCACCTCCTCACTTAGTTTATGGATCTTGCACAATTTCTCCAGCCACTGCTTTTGTTAATTGAAGATTTACCTAATCCAGCCTGAGTTACCATAGTTAGAGGGAAAACACATGTGGAATGACTACACTAAATAACTAATCGGAGTCTCAGTACAACGGTGTTAGAAGAGACTTCGGATGGACTACTTCATTTCATAAAACCCATTGTTTTTCTCTTCATATTGCTCTAAAGCAGTGTCCCCCAACCTTTTTATCGCCATGGACTGGTCAACGTTTGATAATATCTCGTGTCCCAATGATGGATTTCTGGTCATTGTGGAATATATTCTTCGGAGATTCTGAAACGGGATATTAGAATACTGTCGTGTCCCAGGGATGGTTATCTGGACACTGTGGGATATCTTCTTCTGTTGTCTATTGTGGAGCCTTAGGTTTGATAAGGGGGTGGGAGTTTGATGAGTAGGGCACGGTTTTGATATTAACGTCTGGTTTCTCAGTTGACAATAGGAAGGAATGTTACAATCGGTCTCAAGGTGAAGGTTCCTTTATGCTGATGTATATGTTTATATAATAAACGCCGTGGATGTCTCTAATTCGTTAATACACTATATTAACAATAATAATTGTAATAATAACGGTTGGACACAACAAATTTTAACTCACTAGAACGCTAAATCAATGACAACCATTTGATCCACTGACCACTGCAATAGAGGACCAATTTCTCATACACAGTAACAATTCTTCTAAGAAACGAATCGGTTTCATATCTGAACAGCAGAGATGAATAGAGATGATTATTCCCTTGTGAGACACCCAATATTTTTTCAAATGATCTTTTACTGTTAAAAAACATATAAATTATATAAGGAGTAGACGAAATAACAAAAAATTATGGAAAAAACATATTAAAATTGAGTTGACATTACATCGTAACAGTGATAATAAAGGGACACAGATGCTATATAAATCTAATGAGTGCGCTTCAAGTGCAACGACAAATATTTGCGCAAGCCCTGATGACGATTTATGTGTTTACATTGCACGCGAAAAGCCATTTAATATGTGTAATAACAATATAAATATAAATTCCGCACGAAAACTGTATTTATGTTATTATATACATACACACAAATTCAGAGCGAAAACTCGCTTTGTTTCATAGTCATTCCCGACTATGCAGCAACGAACAACTTAAAAAGAAAATAACCGAATCGCACGAAACAAAACGCATTTCTTATAGTAAGTAAGAAATTTACGTTCAATATTGTATAAAAATTGCATTATTTACTATAAAAATATTATTTGAGAACTGAAATACTTGAAATTAACTTTTGTATTGAAATAGTGCTAAGGATGAAATTATGAAAGGTTATAACTGGAAACTGTGGTGTATGGTAAAATGAGTAGATTTATTTATTTAATTTTTTTTATATATATTTTTGTTTTTATAATTAGGCATATATATATTTTTTAAAATCACATTTTTTTTTATAAATATTGCTATTTCAATTTTTATTTTACACAACAGTAGTCTCTAGTAGTATAGAAAACATCGCAAGAATAATTTGTTTATATTTACACTTGAGCTAAATAACTAGAGTATTAAGAAGATCCGAGGCGTTTCGTGAGCGCATCGGAACCCTGTACAAAAAAAATAAAATAATAAAAATGAAATAAAATCGCATTCTTAAATGATGGGTAAAATATATAAAAAAAAAAGAAATTACACAGTATATAACAGGGAAACAAGTAGTAATTAAGTATACAAAAATACGGGACTAAATATGTTATTATGTAATTTAGAGAAAGAAAGAAAAAAAAAATAACATACGCATGGTTTGAGATAATTATTTATATATATATATACACATTGAATGGTAAGGATTACAATAATCATAATAATAATAAAGAGTATTTTTATACAAAAGAGTTAGAGGAGTAAAATAATACAATAGACAAAAAAAATAATAGAATTATACAAAATAGTGTAGTAGAATAATAATAATACATACATTGCTAATGAGCAAATTAATTAAAGCAAACACATTATTGCGAAAACATATTACAAACTGGTGTGGGGGGGTAAAAAAAACAATAGACAAATCAGAGGCGAGGACGAAAATGATCCTAAAGAATATTGTTCTATTATATTAAAACATCTTCGTTTTTCCCTCACGATAATTTCACAAAAAAAAAGAGTAAGTAATAAAAAAAAAGTAAGTAGAATAGCGTTATGAAACAAACAAACAAAAAAAAAACATAATCTTTGGTATACTTTATATCTTTCGTTTCATGTAACAACGGCGCAAAAACGAAACTCTCGTTTCGACAGTTCTCATTTAAGAAATATGGGTCAATCAACATATCTTAGTTTTGTGTTTTTTTTCATTCATTATTATTTATAATTTAAATTTCGTTTAAATTTTTATTATTCGTTTTTATAATTTTTCTAACAAATTATTTAATTTAATCTTTTCATTATTTGGAAGCTCTTAGTTTATTCAACGTAACCGTAATAATAATAATAATCATAATATTTCGTTTGAAGATGATTTTTTTTCTTTTTATAAATTTCGTTTTCTTTTTTTTGTAACTTTTTCGTTAAATATATATATATAATTTAGTGTTAAATAAATAAAGCGAGTATTAGGTTCTTTTCGTTTACTTATATCATCGCGTGTGTTTTTTTTTAAATAATTTATCCTTGTTCGCTTCTTCATTAGAGAAAACAAAATGATAAAAAAAAACAATTTGATTTAGTTAAATTGACATGTCAAAATTGATCAGCGTCGTCGTCGGGAGGGGCTGACTTTGATATGTACAACTAGGCTACAAAGTCGAAGTAATTGGAGATAGTATAACTATATAACGTTTTCTTTTATATATATATTATATATATATAGTTTTTTTTTAATATATTTATATACGATTTGACAGTGTGTTTGTAGTTTAATTGATGAAATAGGCCAAACTGATTAATTTAATCATATATATTTACTCAGAGATTCCTTTCAATTAATTTAATTGTCTAACGTCGCGCTCTCTTTTCTTTTTGAAATTAAATCTCTTGCTGCCTCTTTCAACGGTTCAAAATAAAGTTTGTTTTTCGTTTATTAGGACCATTTTTTCTGAAACAGTACGAAAATTGAATAATGATAAATTACAAAAGAAAGAAAGTAAAATTAATTTTTCATGAGTGTGGTGTGGTGTAGGTCGTCATCGTCGTCTCTATTTTCGTTAAATTTTAATACATTTTTTTTTGCTTTTTTCTCTCGCCCTCGCTGCCTCTGCGCTTCTTCAATTTTTTTTTTTAGTAAAAAATAATATTAATAATCGATTGATTCTCAGTCTTATCCGTTTAAATTCAATTCACTTTCGAGTTCAATGAATAAACGTTGTTGTTGTTTTTTTTTCTCTTTAGTTTTTGTTTTTTGTTGCTTATATGAATGTCGTCCGTGTCGTCGCATTCGTGTATTATACGTGCGTCGCCATTGTCCCCCGTTTCAGGGTGTTCACGTTAGTGTTTGGAACTATGTATTGACTCGTGGGGGAGTTGGGCAGTCTCGTAACTTGGGGCACCGAGCCGTTCGCACCATTCGACAGAACTGTGTTCACTACGTTAGCACTTGCAGTCACCATTCCTCCGCCAACTCCGATTCCCGAGTTCACTAAGTTCCTGGAGGAGTCGCGCGAGTACGGTGGAGGCGCCGGGGTCGCTGCAGGATTCGCCGTGTTCGGCGTGGGCAGGCCGATGTTCGGGTTCCGCAGGTACGGATTGCCGTAGACCGCGCTGAACCTGGGATCTATGTGGCCCATCCCGGGTATCGTGCCGTTACCCATGCCCTGGGACGCCGCGATGTGCAGGTCGGTGAGGTCGCTCATCGGCATGCAGCCGCCGGACACCGGGATCTGATGGTTCTGCAGAGAGTTCAGCTGGAGCCTCGTCGACTGCAGGCTTTGATCCAGGGACGAGGTTATCGGTGGCTGCATCATCGGTGGATTGTAATCCCTCGAGTAATCCACGTAGGGGACGTAGCCGTTGTTGTTCTGACCATCCTGCTGACAAAAACAACAAAACTATTAATAATACTGTACTACACAAACAATCTCATTCAGAAAACCAATAAAACATTTAATAATAATTTTTTTTTGGTGAAAGGTTAAGAACTACTAGAATTATTACTAGGAGTTCATGAACTCTTATTTGCTCTGTTTTTAGTTAACTGCATCATTCAACATTCAATCAATAATAAAAAAAATAAATTTGCAGTGAAAAATTGTAACATTCGAAAATTCCATATGTCAAGTTTGTTTGTATATTAATATAATAGATGCAAAAATTATTAGTCTTTCTGCATTTCTCTTCATAAATATTATCATTACATCAATAATAGGTATCAGCTACTCTATCAAATTCGTCTATTAGAGACCACAAATGTATTTTGATAAAACATGCAATAAACTAAAACTGACTGTAATCATTCTTAATTAGGTAATTACAAATAATATATTTAAGTGAACTATTAACATTAGTACATCAACATATCGGTAAAGTATAACAAAAGTTCAAAACAATCATAGATTTGAATGATTCACGTGTTTTTATTTTAATAAATAATTACGTAATTGTACAATTGTTGTAATCAATATTGTTACTTTGACGCCTAATATTTAGGAATTTAAATAATTAACTTAACTCTTTAATTTGTGGATAAATTCGTTTTGAAAATTTGTTTTAACAGATGTTTTCTTATAGGAATGTGTGTATAATTGAGTTCAGTCCGATGAAGAAATAGTTGTTTGTGAATGCGGATCGAACGGAATGCATAAGTTGCTTGGATTGAGTGGAATCGGCGGTTATCGATGTTTTTTTTTTGGGCTTACCTTGGGTGGGAATGTGGGCTCCGTGTAATCGGCTGAGTAACGGTATATCTCTTGAGCGGAAACGTTGACCGGTCCGGCGAGCGGCACGCCGATCCTCGTTATAACGGACTCGCTTCCAGTCTCCGACTCTGCTCCAGGTATGTAGTCCATGTCGCAGTGGACGTTGCTGTTCGAGGATCCCGTCCTCAGGTCCAGTTTAAGATCGGATATGTTCGAGCTACGATCCGACTCCTTGCATTGCTTCTCGATGACGTTCACGTCTCCACCCTCCGGCGGTGTCTTCTTGTTACCTTGCCTGTGGCAGAGGTACGTTACGATAGCGACGAAGAATAAGCAGAAGACCAGAGCAATGCCACCGGTGATCACGAACGACGTGGGGAAGTTTTCTGGAAAGACGACTTAAATTACAATTAATATCTCCATCTGGAACTACCATCCCAGATTGCTTCAACGCAAATAATAAAGAATGGTAGAAAAAATGCAACATTTAAAAAGAAAATAGAAAAACATAATCAATGAAGAAAATTGAATAATGAAAGCATAATTATTTCAACAATCTTCCTATATTATTTTTTTAGAGAGAATACAATTAATTTCACTGATAAAAATTAAAGAAATACTGCTAAATAAACTGTAACTATTATTACAGCTGCAGATGTAATGGATTTATTAAAATAACTAAGCAACATAAGTTGATATTGCTTTCGAAAATGTAATAAGATCTGCATCTAATCATGGCGAGTATTCTGATTTTTTTTAATAATGTTTGTAATGAATACGTGTAATGTGTAATATAAATGTACAAAAAAGAAGTCAGTTTGTAGCACATCTGGATGTGGCGAGTGTCTCTTACTTTGTTGCATCAAGTTAATCTCGACGACGTCGACGCCGTACGGATTGGAGACGCTGCAGTTGTAGACGCCAAAGTGTTTCTCCTGCGATTCCCGTATGATCAGCGTAGATTTGATGCCCTCCGGCTGCGGATCTTCGAGGATGGAGTAGTCCTGATCGTGGTCGACCTCTCTACCATTGAATGTCCAGATGACCCGTTCCGGTGCTGGGATCGAGAAGGCCGTGCACTCGACCCGGACGTTGTCCCCCTCGATTCCGAACTGCTTGCGGTGGCTGACGATGGACGGAGGTCCTGCAGTGATTAAGATTGTATTAGTTATGTTTGCGAGTGGGGTCTGACCAAAGTTTTATTACCTTTCAAATAAATTGCAGCCTCCGCCCTGATGTCCATGTCCTGGAAGCCGGCGACGTGCGCCTTGCAATAGTAACGTCCGGCGCTTTCCGTGTCAACTCGAAGCGTGAGATTGGCGTTCGTGCTAATTATCCTGGTGCCATCCTCATGGTACCATGTAATATCCGGGAAGGGATTGCCGTCGACGTCGCAGGTCAGTGTCACGCTTGCACCAAGATCGGCCTGGATGGAGCGCGGCTTCGACCGGAACTGCGGACCATCTGCAACACACAAATTAATCATTAAAATTACCGTTTCTATTACATTATCATCATCATCAATACTTACAGCTTATATCTAGGGTTTCGGTTTCTTCACTCTTTCCGACAGCGTTGTGCACTTCGCACTTGATGATGGCATCGTGGTGTTTCCTAGACACGTTGTGAAGGACCAGTTCCGTCGTGTAATCACCGATGAGGAGTTCTTCGTTTAGGAACCATCTGTAGGTGACCTCGGCAGGATTCGCATCGGCTTTACAGCCCAAATGCACCTCGGCGCCTTCTTGGATCCTTCCGCTCGATGCAGCTCCCGATAGTATCGACACAGTTACCTTCGGAGCGTATTTCACCTGCGGACAAGATAAAACCACTTAGATTAAAACTACACCAACAAAAGGATGCAACTAATCACTGTTTAGAAAGCAACTTCCTTTACACTACGTAATTAAGTTGCTCTCTTTAATTAGCTTCAAATAACATATTTTGAGACAACATCCTTTAGATTTTTCACAATTAATTTAATTTACTCAATTTATAAAATAATGTAAAAATATTTATATTTTGCGCACGAATATGCTTGAACTGTGTCAAATTTTCGCAATAAGAGGTCTGCTTTTTAATACGTTATATTAAAAAATAAGTAAAATGAAACCGGGATTCCTAGAACATTGTTAATACGTTTCATATTGAAGATGGGAAACGGGTGTATTGATACCGTGGAGGTATTAAATTTTGGATGTATTGACACATTGTGCTGCAGCTACAAAAGATTGCAACAATGGACCGGTTCTTGGAAGAGAATCTGCAGACGAAATTATATCTCCCGGCGACGCGAATTTTTTAATATGTATTCCACGAAAATCGGGCCGGACCGATCGGACGGATGTACGCTTCCTGGAAGCGTAATTAGCTCTCGTTCCAAGTTCTTTCTTACCTCGAGCTTGAGTTTGGCAGAACGATGCGTCCTTTCCGCTGTGTTCTGAGCTTGGCACGTGAAAGTCGTGTTGTGGTGCTGCTTGCGCGGCGTCAGCTTGAGGATGCTCTTGGTGGTGAAACGACGACCATCTGCTAGTTCGTCGACGATAGTTTCGATGCCCTCATTGAGGACGTTGCCCATCCCATCGATCCAAGTTATTTCCGCCGCTGGTTTACCACCGTAGCTCACGCATTCTAACTCGATCTCGCGATCTTCGGTGGTCACCAGGTAATCGCCTTGTACGATCTTAGGTGGATCAGGTTGCACCAGGACTGTGATGGTGGCGAAATGACTCCTAATTCCGGGTTGTCCTAGAGGTCCGGGCGCCACTTGGCACTGATACCTTGCGTCATCATCCAGCATCACCGGGTAAATGTCCAAGGAGAAATCGCCTGAAAAATAAAGAAATTATGAAAGGGAAGCAGAAAAATAAGGGCGGAGTGGTAAAAAAGGAGAGTACTTTGCTGGAGACAGAGAGATAGAGAGAGTGAAATAGAGACTCGTAAAAGTGAATACTTAATATCTGGGCCCCTCTCTTTGTCCGGCAATTTGTAAGGAATTGTTCCAGACCTTAGCCTTAAAACGTAGGCAGGCATTAACCTTTATAGAACACCCCAGGGGGGTGGAACACACTAGGGGGAAGGAACGTTTTCGCAGGACCGTAATAAAGCTGTTTCTTTTATGAACTCGTTACGTGTGGTAGGTGTGCCAATCACTCTGTCCACTTTTTACACCCCGGCCCCGAAACACACTTGACAACATAAAATTATTGATTATAACATAAAGGCACTCACATTGTGGCTTTGTCCGCAGGAAGCAGAAATTTTACCATGCAATAATAGTTACAGTTTTTAGCAAATTTTATAAGTTAAAATATCAACAACTTATTTGGGTATATCTCTATGTAAACATAAGCAAACGTTGTAGTATTGCAATTAGTAGTTGTCTCTTTGATGTTGCTGTTGTTGTTGTTATTAAGTTCTAGGGTAAAGAGAGCGAGAGTGATTGAAAATTAGGCCGGGCAATTACTTTTTACGACATAATTGCCTTCGGAGGCGCTATCTTGGAAGTGCAGGTCCCAGGGAGGCTGTGACAGGGTTGTTATGTCAAAGAGGCGCGCCTCATCCGAGTTGTTCCGGGGGGGATGAAGGGTCCACGTGTATATGTGTCGGTGCTGCGGCTGTGTTAAAGTGTGTGTATATGTATGTACGATGCAGACATTTCAGTAATATCTCCCCAGGCAGCTCCCCTAAGATATGAGTTCGGTGAGACACACACATATACCGGAGGGGCTGAATATGCCCTGCACACTTTCAGACAGATGAACCTCTCTCTTTCTCCAGGTGGAATATTTATTCCGTTCATTGCTTTTTAATTCGAATAAACTAAAAGTAAAGTGCCCCGGAATTGCACTCGGAAAACATAGACCATTCGGAGTTTAATACATATTGCAGAAAGAAGAGGAAAAACAAAATAGAAATCGAAGAGGAAACTTTCAACCGCGCTTTATCGATCGTAGCGGAAGAAACGGGGAAAGCACGCGATTTTAAGAAAAAAAATCAAATCACAAAAATAGCGAAACAATATCAATAAAGCGATTTTAAACTGAAAGAAATCAAAGAAAAGAAAAAAAGATTGAATGAAGAAAAGAAAATCTTGGTATGGACGTATCATCACAAGGGTTAGACTCGAGCCTCCTCGGATAATAGATTCGTGAGAAGAAGTCCAGACGGAGTGGTTTTAGGAGTGGAATCCACTTCTCGTATATCAAGCACCCTACATATGGGTCCCGGATGACATTTGCCTTCCCCGCAGCACGTGTGTCTCGATACCAACTCGAGGAGGATACGGCTCTAGCCTCGCCACACTCGCACACAGACAACTACACATATTCATACATACATCTTCACGTCTTTGTCTTCTGTTTGCGAACCTGTGTATAGTATGAAATTCCGCAGAGGCACAAACATACCTTGGCCCAACTCTCAACCTCCCCCGCACATCCACGAGGGCACTTTATCACTTTAAACCACGGAGAGGCAGGCGGCAGCAGCAGGGGGAGAGTTGGTCGCCTCTGAATAAACAACAACCACTTGCAACATCATCCTTCTCTACTCTCAAGAAGACAATCAAATATTAATACTGCCGCTAATTCGGCGGAAGATGAAGAAAAAAATACTGGACTCGCGTAATCTCCGCTGCTCGTGGGTCACGGCCAATTACGTTATTGTTATCTTCATACCATTATTTTTATTTTGCTTTTTTTTTTGTTGTTTTACGCTCGCCCTCAAGTTTAATGCGGCGTCCCTGATAAACGCTATCACAAACTGCCCTCCCATTAAAATATGCACGATTAATTCCTGCGATACAACGTCAGGTGCGTTGTCGCACTCAGAAATACACACACATTACAGCATTTTATGTTGAAACGCATAAAGTATGGGACAAAACTTCTCTGCCACGATCTAATCACAAATAAACTTAGCTTTAATCAACGTTAAACAATATATTAAGATCGAAATGATTATATTTAGTCTTCCCATTAATATAAAGATTATTTTAATCATTGGGAATGTAACAATTTCTTGTTTAAATAAAGTAACGAGATTAGGTAATAAACTTTGCGTGATGTTCGTGAAAAGGTTGTTTGGATCGAGTGAGTGATTCTTAAAGGATAATTACCTTCTTCATCGCTGCCGATCATCGAGTATCGTTCGAAACCGCTGAGGTTGCGGTGCGTTCCCAGACCGAAATCGTCCTTCGTCCACTGCAGATTGCCGCTCTTGTCTATGACTCTGCAGGGCAGAGTGACCCTTGATCCAACGACGGCGGTCTGGTCCTGCGGTTCCATGGCAAACTTCTGGTCCTTGAGGGCTTCTCCCAAGCAGAAGGCGACGCTCATCCGCAGCAACAGCAGAAGGAACTTGTGAGGGCTCGCCATTATTGATTGTCAATAGCGGGGGGTGGGGGTGGCTTTGCGACGGCGATCGCTGAGGGTTGGAGCGGTGTGTCGGGTGGCGGCGGCTTCTGTCTCTCGAAAAAATAAAGAAAAACGACGAAGGCGGCGGTGGGAGCGCAGACCTGCAACGACAACAAACAAGAACGTAAATAAATAAATAAGCAAAGAAATAAGAGGAATGCGGAAGTTGAAGGAAATCTTGTTTCGATTTAAGTTTCAGAATGAAATCTCCATAGATAAAGGGTCCCGCGAGGCGGCGGTGGAGGAAGCGGAGGAGGCGGCAGAGTTGGAGGTGTATTCGCGCGACTCGCTTTGTGGATCCTGCCAGGCCAAATCCGACAAAGCAAATACTGCTACATCAACACCAACTAAGAGCACCTGAACCTATGTAAATCTTCTAGCGCCTCCGGGAGGAAACGTACACATAACATACTCTCACATAATCATCCTCTCCGAAGACCATCCTCCAAGGGCATTCGGTGCTCCTTATTGGACTTACATAAACCGTTCCTTCTAGACATTTTTTCACAATCTATTGATCCCGAAAAGCATTCACGGAATTAAATATGTGCGTTGACAGTTTGATTCGCGTATATATCTTTATAAATGCCCTGACGCAAGGATAAATAAAGCTGATGCGTCAAAGCCTCGCGATGCGACTTTATTAAAACGGAAGCGAGCCGTCAGAGTGTAGTGTATTCGTGAAGCAAATTCGAATATATATATAAAGCACGAGAAGCGGATGGAAGAAGTAGTAGAAAAAAAATGGATACAAGGGGTTGAAATGTGTATTCGTTACCTGACGGATGGCGCAGCAATTAATATGGCACGGGCTAAATTGGACTCGGATTCAATCTCTTTTGATGGTAGGAGGAGGGGTTTTAGTCGAAAAAGAAAACGAATAGCAATTAGCGTAATTCCTTCGATGCTTCGTCAACCCCCGCGCGATTTTAATGACTCCATGAGGCTCGGTCAAGAAATAACATTCGGGGATTGCTTTCAGGCTTTTCAAGCATTTTCGCTTCGGTCACAATTTTGTTTTTCTATTATTACTTCTTCTCGTTTTCGAATGAAAAGTACTTGTTAGGGACAAATGGAAAGTTTGGGTTGAGGTCACCAGTACATGGCTTCAATTAAAGTTCTCGCAAGTAGATTTCCTTTTTCCACGATCCATCTTACTTGGAAATAACGATCGGAATGCGCCATTCTCGTGGAAACACTAACCAAAACCACAATTATTTCTCGTAAACTTCAACTAACAATATACAAATGCAGACAATCAATACTTAATATTTAGATTCGTCGATATGAAGAGACAAATATTATTTTTGGAAATTTATACATTAACAAAAATTGTAAAAAATAATTTAGTTGTAAAAACATAATTTCTGTTTGATGTAGCATATGGTAAAAGTCTATATACCAGAAAAAATAGATTTGTTCTTCATTTGTAACTTCATGTGCGGTAACTCTAATAAAAAAGAAGTAACGAGATGCGTAGAAAAACGTAACGGGATAAATGTGTTTTTGAATGAATATTAAATGAATCGAGAATCTCACATGGTGTACTCAATCTTTATAGGATGCACATGGTGCATATAAGTCGATTGCCATCTTGATCTCAAACGCTGTGTTGATAATTCCTCATATCGCTTCTCATCCGAGTGTGCATTATGTAAGGTCTGTTTATGTCTTGTACAAGAATATTTCTCTCGTTTTGTTTGATTTTCTTGATTTTCCTTTTTCTCTGCGAAGCGAGCGGGAAGACAACGTGAAAGTGTTTATGTAATCGAAGCAAAAGGGGGAACGAGAAGATAAAGAATAAAAAAAAAGAAGAGAAGAAGAAAATAGAACTCTCCAACGAATAAACAAGAGAGCGAGCGCCTCACTGCGAGTGATTAATAGGATTAAAAATATTAAGAATTTAAATCCGACTTCCTTTAAGGTTCAGTTTCGTTCACTTCTATTCCTCTCCTCGACCACTGAACCAAGAAGTGATTATGTTTTGTGAAGAGTTGTAATAAATAATTAAAGGGATCTTTCCTAGCAGATAGAATGCAGCTTTCAAACCCCATTCTTTTGGAGTGAACGTACCGATATTATTTACATCAACACTTCTATTTATATGATACTAAACAAGTTGCATTAGTCTTTTCAATTGAATGTTTATTGGTGAATGAAATAACTGCGTGTCTCATTTTATTACCAAATTAATGATATTTTGGTTCGTGCGTACGTTGAAATAATTTTGAATAATATTCTTTGATTTGCGTTTAATGATGAGAATAACTGTATAAAAATATACATTGAATTAATCTCTTTATTCTGACACATGTTGTATCGTATTTCAAACTATAATCTGTATCATATATTTTCTTTAAAAGAGAGCCGCGACAGCAAGAATTACGCCACTTCATTCTAAGATCTTTTTTTATTACAAGAAGAAATGAAGACAGAAGAAATGTAATACTCTCATATTTAAATTAATTACATATAAAGATGTTGATCAGAAATTTACAGTAATAAAGACATAAAATGATGTGATTCTGGTAAGTGTTAACCAATTGGAAGAGAAGTATAATCAATACGATTGTGTTAATGGTTAGCTATCTCTGGGATGTATATAAGTGTGAGAACGAGGTTTTCGGTTTGGAGGAAAGAGCGTCCCGTTTACCAAACAACATCTGTTCTAAACGTTCACTAAATAAGGGAGAGCCTGGAGATAATAATAAAGTTTTGAAGGGGGTGTCTGCAGAGAGCGCGCCGTGTACACCTTTAAGTCGCCCGATGTCGAGGGGAAAGAGAAAGAGAGAGACAGTTTGAGGATATCAGATTTAGAAACCAGAAGCGGGTAATTCGCCGCCGCCCGGCGGAACCGGAAATGTTCTCCGCGTCGCGACATGACGTACGGAAACCATATCTTCGGTAAACAGTCGTTAAAAGCGTATATACACTTGTTGGTTTTACACAGACTAATCGTCTTCCTCTTTGCTCGTGTTGCCCCGACACCCTTCCTTCATCCTTTCTCTCGTTCACTCATTACCCGGATCGCATCCTGTTTCCGAAAATAAATCCCAAATTAAATAAACGCTCTCTTTAAGGGATTCGATATAAATAAAAGCTGTAGGAAACATCGTATACACATACGCAGATAAAAAGTGGAAAGCTCGAAATTTTCATCCTCTTGGGAGCATAAAGCATTAAAGGACTTAAGGACGAGTGTGCGTGTGTGTTTTTTTTCTCTCTCTCTCTCTCTCTTGTGGATTGAATCGATAGTTCTTGGTTCGCGCTTGCAAACTGGAAAATTGAAAGAATCTGAGCGCGAATTAGCCTCACTAAATAAATTCGTTGCCGGGGCGATGAATGATGAAAAGCTCGGTGAGAAAAAGAAACTGGGGAGCGGTGGCTTTAAGCTTGAAGAAAAGAAACGTGTCCTGAGGGATGGTAGGAAACGTATGCCTCGGTGTATTAGGCTCGGATCATTTATTTCCTGGCAGAGAAAACGCAAGTGGTGTGCTTACAGTAAGCAAGTTATTTGCTTTATTACGACCAGCAGAGTCGAAAGAGGGATGATTTATTGTAATGGTATTGATGGAGGTGGCGGACGGGAATTGAATCATGGGACACGCGACGGCGGCAGGAGCGAAATTGAAATAAATTCCGTGTGTCGTGGGAGACAGCAGAAGGAGGTGGAGTAGTAGTAGAAGCAGGACGAGCAGAGGTCTTGACATATCCTAGCTGAGACAGTAATCGAGCCGTCTGGAAGTCTGAATTAAAGATAAAGGCGATAGCGCGCGGCTTCGCCGGAATCCTAAACAGTATCGATTGGACGTAGAACTGTGCCCAGTGGGCCACCACCATAAAGATTCCGTCTGCATGTGCACTCCTCTTTCCTTACTTCCTTTTTGCACAAACACAATCTGTTTGGTCTACAATTCGAATACATCCTCGATAAGTTACTTATTGCCGGTTTATTTATACCCGAAACGAAAATATGCTTCTCTTCCTCCTCCTCCTTCGTTCTCGAACGTTCACCGTAAACATTCGCAAAAGGTCCTGTATCCTCTTTTACCACCATCTTTCGCAGGTGTCGACAGGATTCATTTACTTCTCCATTGGAATTTTAGCCGCACTCCGTGTTAAATGGACACGCTCACCGGAATCCAATACTACAACTGATTAATTAGTCGGGAGCGTTCCGGAATTTCGCGTAATTAAAGATTCCTGCGGTTCAATTGCAATCCCTCTCTTTTCAGACCCAGCACTGCATTAAGCCTCCCCGGAGAGAAGGAACGAAAGAGAGAGAGAGAGAGAGATAGATAGAGAGTACGTAATAGAGCGAAAGAGAAATAAAAATAAACAAAAGGGAGAGCAAAATCGAACAGAGACAGGGGAATAAAATGGAAGGACCCGAAACCGAATTTTGCATCCAATTTGCGAAAGGTAATTTGATCGATGATTCTTCGGGCCCCGACCAATATGCAAATGGATGCGATGTGGTATACGGCGAAATAAGGAATTGCCAATTATTGTTTTTCTTTCATCCCTATCCGTCCCTTCACTATCCCTCCAATTGCCAAATAGAACATGTCTGAAGGGAGGGACGAAAGCGACCCGCCGTGCCCTGTTCTCAACTCCATGCACTAAACATTGTTATTCCCACGAAGGCAAATGGAAAAATGTATTGTCGAAACACAAGTGAGAAGAAAGCGCACTTTACAATGCATTCCCAGCGAGCATTCAGTAAATAATCAATTGGACAAATGTGTTTTCAAAATAATACCTAATCAAATATTTAACAAATAGTTCAAGCAAACTTATAGTTAAGTTTGATAAAGTTCGTGAATCACCTTAATCGTTATATAACAATTCGATAATATTCGATTCAAACTATTTAATAAAATCTAATCCTAAAATCATAAAAATATAATAAATTTAGGCATTAAACTATTTATACAATATCTAATAAGGGAACTGTAGTGTTCATAAACAGGTCGCACCATAATAAAAAACTACTGTGATTAGATTTAATTTCAAGTTGTTGACTTTATGTAACCTTTACCAAGTTAATCCTGTACACGAGATGGCGGTATTATTTCGTCGTTGAGTATTGTAATCAAATTTTGCGATTCTCCCTACATTTCTCGTTTAT